CATACCCCCCCCCAATCCCCAAAAGTTTCTCAGCGGATTTGGGCTGTACTCAGCAAGCGCAGTACAGCCCCCACCTCAGATTTGAAAAAAAATCAGTGGACGGCTGTTTTCTGACTGGTCGGCAGACCGCCGACCGGTCGACCCTACTGGTCGGCTGCAAAACGGTCGGAGGTCGGGGTTGGCGGTCAGCAGGTATGCAACCCTGCCTTGAACCATGTGGATGCAATCACCCGCTTATGGTCCCATCCTCTGCTGTGGTGATGGCCAAGCATCAAAGTATGACACTACCGTCTTCACCTGAATAGAATGTCTTGTCATTATAGCTGTATTTGGGGCAACTTTTGGTCCAGATAGAGCAATAATGACCTAGTGTTTTGTTCGGGTGAAGACGGTAGGTCTCCATGCACCGGTGCAGACCGATGCTTCCACAGTTAGGACCCTCCACTTGGTGGCCCTCTAGTGTCCAGTTGTGGCCCCGTTGGCTACATTGGTTCCACTCTCAGTACCTGCCTCTTCTAGTCTTGTTTCCACCGTGACACCCCCGTCTGTTCCCGGTACACCATCCACGAACAAGACAAGGGAACCTTTCGTCTGTACTCCAAAGAGCAAGGATAACTTATCCAGTCCGATAGCAGTCGTAAGAACCGCCATCGAAGTTACGATGAGGATACCCCTAAGGATCACCAAATAGTCGCAGCAACCTCGCACTCGGGCACTGCAGAAGAATTGGTTGAACGCGGTGATGACAAGCACACGCCTTGAAGAGAATCTGGGCCTCGCCACACCAATGTTGAAACCACGTTATTTTCGACATGTGTCAGGCATTTTTCAACATTGCTGTGTTCAATAAAAAAAACGGTCTTCGCCGACTCTTCGGCCACACAGCGAATGTTGAAGATGCGGGATAAGCAAAGTTTAGCTATAAAAGAAGAAAAAAAGAAGAAGAAGAAGAAGAAGAAGAAGAAGAAGAAGAAGAAGAAGAAGAAGAAGAAGACACGGGATATTGAGGCCGCGGAAAGCTGAGAGGGCACAACATTCACCTCCTCGAAAACGAGGTGCTGACTTTCAAGACACCGCAGGGGGGTGGTGTCACACCAATGTCAAAACCTGTTTTCTGAAAACTGTCGAACTGGTTTCGACAATTTCCCCTCGACAGTCTGTGTGGCGAGGCCCAAAATGTCAAAAACTACCGTCTTCACCCGAATGGAACGCCCGGTAATTATCACCGTATCCGGGCTGAAAGTTGTGCCAAATGCAGCTATAATGACCGGGCGTTCTATTCGGGTGAAGACCGTAGTGTTCCGACATTGGTGTGGCGAGGCGCTCTGAGAGTTTGGGCCGCAAGGTATAGTTTAGTGAAATTTCAAATTTTGGAATTCGTTAAACTCAACAGCCATTTCAGAGACATAACTGTGTGCACAAAAAGCGTCAGACGAGTCGAAGAACTATAGAGAGGACTCAACATTTCAAGGCCTGCTTTTTCCATCTTCCCGGTCAACCAAGTGTGCTGCAGAGCACGTAAGTGGCATTCAGGAGGTCGTGAGTTCGATTTCCCACGGCATTTATTGGACTCCCCCACGTCCTCCTGTGCCACACTTCGGCTTCACCAGATGAGATAGTTTGGCTTGCCCCCGCTGGTTGGTCTTGGTAAGGGGATATGCACTCCTTCCTTCCCATGCTACCTTCTTCCCCCGAATACAATGTACGGTCATTATACTTGTATTTGGGGCGTCTTTCAGTCTAAATACAGCTGTAATGACCGTACATTGTATTCGGGGGAAGAAGGTAGGGGTTAGAAGCCTGGGTACTGCTCCTCCGACTGAGTAGAGTAGACATGTATGATTCCCACCGCTTCATAGTCGGCTAGATAGGCCAGGATAGACTAGGGAGGCTTCAACCCATAACCTTTAGCACGCTTTGTCTGTGGCACATAGATTTGGACTGCCGTCTGATGCTGTTCTGGGTAAGATAGGTAGCCAGTGCGAGGATGAATTGAGATAAGAAAATAGTGTAATAAAAAAAAGTTGTCCCCCATTTATGAGGAAACGACAGCTGTAGTTCAAAGAAAAAAAGAACAAAAAAAGAAATCTGTTGTACGGCCCAAGTGCGAGGTTGCTACGTCTATTTGGTGATCCTTAGGGGTATCCTCATAGTCATTTCTATGAAGATTCTATGAAGGTTCCTACTGCTGCTCGACTCTTACAAAAAGGGTTGAAGAACTAATCCAGGTTCTAGGAGCAATCATACTCCAGAACAGCCCTTGACAAGTGCAATGAACCTTGCAAGATTCAACTCAGAATACAACAT